AGAGATTTGATTCGGGTCAAAAATGGACCAATATATTAATACGCGCTTTTTGAGTAAGTCTCAGCGTATAGGTTGGTAAGGCTAGAACAAATACCCGTCGAAAATGGGGTATTTGTCATTTGTATCTTTATTCTTGGGGTTTAATTTATATTCGGCGCTTTTACACTTTCATTTTGTTAGCTTTTATTAGAGGAATCTACCATAAAAGTTCCGATCACATTGCTCCACAAATAAGAAAGTTACCTATTTCGCATCCGCAGAACAATTTTAAGCGTAAGCGTTTTGTGTTTTCAACGGGCGATGAAAAAAGAATTGACGTTGAGTCGCCTTTAGTAAATCAAGTTAAATAGGATTTTCCATATAAACAAAAATTCCAAAGGTAACTCGACAATAACTCTTTTTGATCGTATAGTATTTTCGCTAACCCATATTGTGGTAGAACAAAAAGAATAACCATGGTGTTAAGGGGTCGGAAAAATCAGCGTAACGAAAAAAAATTGACGCAAAGCAAATAAGTCAGCACCACCAACACTGATGATGCCGACATCCTGTCATAAAGGTCCCATAACCCATAACTGCGAACAGTATTCTTGTGTACGGGAGCGGCAGTAGAAAATGTCGGCAATATATGTTGAACACATTTTTCTTTTTAAAGGTAGTCGTTTCGTCGAAGATATAATTTCAGAAATCTTTGGTCGCCCAGTTTTCTAGATTTTTTGGATGCGGATCTCCGAATAATACAGCCGATCGATCTCCGAGCGCAATGTTCTCGTTCTCTTAGTACGGGCATTTATAGTTAGACCCCATTCCGTAAATACCCCGCAGCACTGTATCGAAGCCCCGTTTCCGCCTTGAAGTTTCGCGCCCTAAATTATGACTGCACCGTATATTGGTGAAGTCGATCAGCTTTGCTGAACACCCGGTATCTAGACGCGTTTTAAGTTGGGCGCTTTGTTACAAAAGTGTTGTACTGAAAGTATTTCGGAATTGAAGATAGAAGCTAAAGGTAATTGACATAATTTCTGGAGTTATGTTTCAGTCGTCACTACTATAAATAAAGCGCATTTAATCCGCCCGCCATTTGCAACTGTTCCCGTTCAGATATTTCAGTTGTTGTTTTTTTACGTCCAAGGGCTCTTGTCATTTAGAAGAAGAAGGCAAATTAATATTTTACAATTTCAGCTACGATAAGCCATTATTAGTAGGTCTTTCGGATACGTGACGCTAATAAGGCCCCCAGGTATGATCATGAAACTGATAGAAATGTATAGAGGACACCTTAATAACACGTTTAGAATAAAAAAATTGCGGGAGAGGGCCTAAATTTTCCACAATCTTAATTAAAAGTTCACCTCATTTTCTGGAAATCGTGTGTTATTTTACGTATATTTTGTCATTCTTAAGTTGGCGAAACTGAACAATTTTACGTGACAGCTCTTTTTCCACTAATAAACAAAGGTGACAGGAAATTTTTGTAGGAGGTTATGTTAACTTCTTCGTCCACTAAAATGAAATATGTTGGGTTTAACGTGTATATTAAGAGAATGTAATAAAGGGTATAATATACAATACAATTTTAGGTTTTGTTCGTCTTAAACACCAAATAAGCGACACTTCCATGTGAGGTAGGTACATTTTAATAACACCACTTTTTGAAGCGTATACAGTCCTTTTTGTATGAATCGCCACTTAGCATTCACCGCCTAATACGGTCGAGAGGGGAAGGAACATCTTTCGCATTTTCCATGGATCGCAGCTACGTTAGCGATCGCCGCTTAACTTGGAACACCTTTTTAGCGCATTTCCACAAAAATAAAAAAAAATGCGCTATTGTGGCCACTTTGTCCGTCCGTCCGTCCGCCCGTCCGTCCGTCCGTCCGTCCGTCCGCTCGTTTTGCGACGCTACTAGTTCTTTATCTTAAGAGCTATTGTTCTACTTTTTTCGCTATTTGTTTCGTTATGGTGTCGAGTCTTGTACCAAGGAAGGAATTTTTTCTGTACCGCTTACAAAAAAAGTTATTGTAAAAAAAACAAAAAACCGTTTTTTACATGTTCCATAATTTTACACTTTGCCGTTTATTAACGATCCTAGAGATCGTTTATAATTTTGCATTGCTATCTGTCGCCTGCCGGTTGGTCTCTCCGTCTGTTCCTTTGTCTGTCTGTCCATCTATCTGTCCGTGTGAACGATAACTTTGTTTAGAAATGTTCGATCGCTTTTACATCTCCGTTAGTTATGAACTGAATTGCATGAAATTCAATATGGGCATAGCTTTAGCCATATAATACGCAATCGATTCAAAATTCACAGTCCCCTTTTCGCATCTCGACCATTTATAAACCGAATTGCAAACTTTTTTACTTATAAAAGTATTTGAATGAAATTTGATACATAGGCACTTGGAATAAAGGAAAATCTACCGCCAGTTTCAAAATTTTATTTTGCGCATGCGCAGTGCCAACTTTTTTATCTATGGAACCATTTAAGTGAAATTTGATACTTAGGCGCTTGGAACAAAGGAAAATCTAACATTAGTTTTAAAATTTAGGTTTTCGCATGCGCAGTTCCAACTTTCTTATTTAGAAAAGCATTGAAATGAAATTCTTCTCATAAACTGAAATTGAAGTAGCACGTCAACAATGGATTGCCCATGTGCAACGCTATCTTTCATATTTGTGGCCGGATTTTTACGATTTTAACAGAAGTTGCATCTTACAAATGGGAAATGAATGCAAGCGGAAATGCGCTTTATGTAAATCGTTTACGATTACTTTTTAACTTGTTCGTATTAGTCCAGGCGAGACATTCGGTAAAGCGCATTATAAAGGTTCTAACGGCAAATCTGAAGACATTTTGGTGACAAGTGTTTTTAGGGTAATTGGACCCTGCTGAATCCGATTTTGCCTGTCACCACCTCGAATTTTGGCTGCTAAGGCTTCAAATCAAGATGGCGACCAAAACTTAACTTTAACATTTTTTTCTTGTTGAAAACAAAAATATTATTATGATTTTTATGTGGCACATACGTTTTGCTACTTAGTACTAGTTTATGAAAAATTTTGAAGCCAACAAAATTTAAGATGGCGGCTGAAATAGAGCTCCAAATGCCGCGTTTTGTAGTATTCTTGATTTATTCTACTTTAAGTGAGCAAGAGAATTATAATTTGTTTACAACGTGCCTGCTTAAGTAAAAAAGAAATACAAAAACTTTACTTACACTTTTTCAAAAATAGCGGACAAGATGGCGCTTATTTTGGCTTTTTGTATGCGATATACAGGTAGTATTAAAATCATTATTTTTCGTTTAATTTCATATTATTTATTACTGTATACAAACTCTGTATAAAAAAATAAATCGAATACAAAACTTAAAAAAATGGAAATGAGCAAAAACATTAGGCTTTATTCGGATTCGTCACTTGAATCGGAAGATTGCACAAGCTGAGTTTCTTCGCTTGCGTTGTTGGTGCAAACGCTTTTACATTTGGCAACTTCTGGTGCACAGCATGCGTTTGCCTTTCGAATTTACAGTTCCCCGGCACTTGCACATGTTAGTTTTGACCCTTTCTTGCACCCACAATGTACATGCTTTTGGCATGGCACACCCACAGTCAAAATATTTCGAACTTGGTATATAATATTTGAACCTATAGCATGTAGCCAGCAGATTCGCACTATCAGTAATTTTGCGCACGTTGCGTCGTCGCCGTAATAGATTAGGTCCTAAATTACGAGTGCGTTTCAAACGCTGTATAAACAATACTTATTTTGCGTTCTATTTGTAAAACTAAAAAAACTTTATAAGGATCTTATAATATAATTATTAATACCTCCCTAACGCACTCAAAAAGATTTCAATGATTGCTATTAAAATATCACCAAATGTCATAAAAATATCCGGATTTTGGGAACCATTTTTTTTATTTTTTTCACACATTGTTATTATTAACAATGGTGGGTAGACAAACTCATTTGAACCTATTTGTATCAATCCCATGTAAAAAATGCAATTTTTTTCTTTGCAACTAAAGAAATAGTTAACACAAGTTTCTACCGTCATTTTGACCAACACCTTAATTTGTTTTCAGCTACATATTTTTTTATACGATAGTAATAAATAATGAAACGTATGTACTAGATAAAAATCATGATAATATCTTTGGTTACTACAACAACAAATTTTAAAGTGAGTTTTAGTCGCCATTTTGGGCGCCATCTTGATTTGAGGCCTTAGCAGCCGGAATTCGAGGCGGTGACAGGCAAAATCGGATTCAGCAGGGTCCAATTACCCTAAAAACACTTGTCACCAAAATGTCTCAAGATTTGCCGTTAGAAGTTAAGATCCCAAAATTCTCGCCCGGACTATATCAATCGCCACTTAGCATCCACCGCCTAATACGGTCGAGAGAGGATGGTACATCTCTCGCATTTTCCATGGATCGCCGATACGTTGGCGATCACCGCTTAACTTGGAACGTCTTTTCCTTATGAATCGCTGCTTAGCAATGTAGGATGTAGAGAATTACTTACTGCTATTATGGTATAATTAAAAATACATGTATAAAGTTGTATATCATTGTTTAAAGTTAATTAAATCGTGGAAAAATAACATAACATCTTAAGAAACTAACTAAAGTTGGCACTCAGGAATGTTAAGAACACCACTACCAACTGAAAAACAATCATGAAATTTGGAGTAGGTAATATAACCTCACTTTCGACGAAATGAATTGAACTTTTAATTAAGATTGTGGAAAATTTAGAGCCTCTTCCGCAGATTTTTTTATTGAAGACGCTTCGTTAAGGTGCGCTCTATCCATTTATATCAATTTCAGGATCGTACCTGGGGGGCTCTTTTGCCTTTTGCATCTTTTGCGTTTGGTGTTTAACCATATTTAAATCTTCTTCTATCTGCCGTTACCATCTTTGCAAACTACGTTTTGTAAGTATCGTAATTTTGAGCTTTTTCGTAAATTTATTTTGCATTCATATCGTTTAGATTTTACTTTTACATTAAGTGCCCGCACCGTAAGTATAGCATTTGCTTTTTCTTGGAAGTAATTCCTACTAACTGCAACGTAAGCTTTTTGCTACTTTCCATTTCATTAATTACAAGGGGGGAATATTGTCTCGTTTTCCTGCTCTACCGTAGAAACCGCGACCGAATCCGATTATTTAGTGTCCCCGCTTGCTCTTTAGAATTCCGTGGATCGCCGTTCTCCATTCGAGTTACCTGGAGCTTACCATCGCCGACCGCATCTTGTCCAGAAGCAAGAGAGACCGAAAACTTCTGGTGACGCTCGAAGCACTTCCGTTCCGCTGTTTCTTGCCGCCGTTCCGCCGTCTTCAGCCGACTATCGCCTCTGTCATCATCTACAGATTTTGACTTGTAAATTACAGCTGGATGTTCCATTTGCTTACCTTCATTAAATTTCATTTTTGTAATTATACCGTTTTTTTGTGTACAGGAGAACCCAAGCCACCGATGGTGCACGATCTTCCGGCGAAAGATCGTCGCAGTATACGCAGTTCGTTTTCTGACTTTTCGTTGGTGGATTTGGTGGGGACTGTTTCAATTATGAAAAAACAATGAAGGAATTAAAATGTTAGTCACATCCATTGTATAGGATTAAGTAGTTATGGAATAGAAGAATGGAGAGCATTAAAAAAAAATATTTAGTAAAGTTCAAAAAGAACATTGTAATACAGTTGCACAAAGTAGAAAAAAATAGTACAAGAGCAGAGTTTTTGTTAAAAATTAAGACGCAATGGAAATACAATTAATTAACCATGAAGAATTGGTATTGAAGTAAAATGGTATTCACTGGAAATTTATTGGGTAATTTGAAGAAATGGAAATGCACTAACTTTTCCCTTTTTTTTTAGGCAGTTAGGTGAGTATAAGGAAGAGAGGTAATTTAACAAATGGGTTGTGAAGAGGTTTTATCCACGAATGTGGGCAAAACTAAGAAAGTAAAATTATTAAATTGGTAGGTATAGGATTATTTAAGAAGTTAATGGGTTTGGTAAGTATACGAAGAAAGGTTTAAATGTGAAAGACATCGAGATTATAAATGACTTAAAATAGGTAAGGATAACTTTAATTTGTTTATGTCATACTTGATTATTATTCAGTTATAATAATCCTAAATCAAGATACATTAAATGACAAATAATGCACTCCACCATGACAACCCCAATTATGCCTAGCAACGGGCGTTATTTCTATAACGCCCAAGGGCGTTATTTCTGTAAATCCTATAAATATGGAATAATGAATCTGTACGAATTTTTTATTTTCAACAACTAAATAAAACGAACTGTGTTGATGTCGCATTATCCTACTGTTATTTTGAAGTAAAAAGAACAATTCTGGGACTGTCCAGAGAACACCGCACCAGCTTGGCCCAGACCCATATATTTTCTTTCCTCTTTGTAGATCAGATACTGCGGGTCAGGTGCTTCTGTAAGGAAGGCGACTATCTGTTCGCAAGTAAGGATTTTTGATTTTTTTGGACGATAGCTTTCCTGAACTTGTTTTAAATACCCTTTTAGATGCACAAATTTTTCGAAACTCTTAATCTTCTTCTTTACCATTAACTCTTTACGTATAGCATTGACAATTTCGTCCAAAGTGAATTGGGAGAAAATGACTCTGAGTGTAAATCACCTTTCCGTTTAATGACTAATAAAATTACTTAAACCATAGACTTAAACATACCGACTCTTGGAAGTAACCCAATATAACGGTTTCGTTTATGGTCTCCACAGAATTACTCACCATCCATTTTGCAAAAATAGCGTACTCTTTTTCATAAGAGGATTTCGATTTTTGTGGCACTATGGCTTCATTCGCTTTTGCGGCTCGCGCAAGAACGTGTACCGGTAAATGAGACGCTTCGTCTGCCATTTTTCAGACAGTTTTTAGAATGTTTGACTTTGACAAATATAATATCTATCTCCATAGTTACGGCCTCGGTTACGACCATGGATAACTTAATTTTGATGATTCTCATAATCTTCTCTTTTGATCATCTGGCACCGCTGATTCTTGGAAAATCATCAAGTATGACATAAAACGTTGAAGGCACCACGGGCGTTATGAACACAACGCCCACGGTCAACGTATAACCCTCGGGCCGGAGGCCCTCGGGTTCTACACTGTTGACCTGGGGCGTTATTTAGTTCATAACGCCCTTGATACCTTAATAACTAATAGAGCATTATTTGAACTATCAGTAGCAGTTTTGAATAATATGCTAATGTGGTAATGGTCAATAAGTAATGGTAGAATAGGATGTTTTGAAAATAATAATGATCTGCTGATTTCCATTAAATAAATCGGTGATAATTTTCAAAATACGAGTAAGGTAGGTAGTTCCCGTAGTTACTTATGAAAGCGTTTCATCGTTGAGTGAAGAATCACTCAACGGTTTCATGGAATGTCTTATAAACCTGGCAATGGGAGAAATGTACTTTTACTCTTTTATTTTTAAATGAAAGGTTACGTGTATAAATAAATGCTGTGTCAAAAAATACAAACAGACAAAATCCGTCTGAGATATTTATCGCGGCAAAGCCAATAATTGGATGTACTTATTCGTCATACTTATTAATCTCAAACGTTATTTAACGTTACAACTACACTGTCTAAGTAAAAATGAAAAATTTAATTTTCCAGGTCGTATATAATTAGTAACTCTCGACTATTGTTAATTGACTATTACCACGGGATATATTTCAGACGTGGGCGTATTCGTATTTGAAGTGATCGATTGTTGCTCAAAACATAATTTTATACCACATACATTTATTTGAACTGTCCTGCTTTAAGTTCGTACAAACAATAGAGATAGAGACAGTATCGCTAAAATTAATTTTGAAGACGACAGGCAGGTAGATTGACGCAATATAAAAGTATGTCAGAAAGAAAAATATCGGTTCGTCGCCAAGGTATACTTGTGTGCTAAGATTACTTTAAGGTTTTACTTAATTATTGTTTTCCGGATGACTATAGCCGCCAAAAAAATTAAATTTTGCCAATACAAATAGGGATCAAAACAACGCGAACGGTACTTATAAGCGCAACAAAGTTCGATTTGTTGAAAGTTTCACTGTAATCGCGTTTAATTAAATATTCTGCTAGAGGAGGCGCCGAAAGAGTCTTTAGATCTAAAGTTGGTCCTTCGTATACTTCATTGTGACCAGATGGTGTCTTGCTGTGGCTAACTTCCTGGAAGATATTTGCATAGTAGATGAGGTCTCGGCGTAACTTTTAATAAGGCATATGCGGCCCATAGAGTAAGGCACCTACTTCTTCGGATTTGAGTAACGCAGTCAGTAAAACTAAAAGTACTTTATTCGAAGCTACAGTATGAAAAGACAGCTTGTACAAAATCAAATAAAGAATGAAAAATATGCATTGGTGCGACAGATGGCATGGAATTGCAAGGGGTAGGCGCCAACAGCGACTGCAACGCGAAATGTTTTTATTAGCTCTAATCTTGTGATTGATTGTATTCATGGCGCTTCATTTTAGGCTTTCATTATGAAAGGTAATTTATTTTTTGTGCCTCGTGAAATACTCGTAATTTCGTAACCTTGAGTGCAGGTATATCTTCACGCACTTTTTCTGTATTTCTGTACCTGCTTATCGGGTCAATATGCTTTTATTAAACAATTATTAAGGATCCCCAGATCCTTTAGAGTTTTGTATTGTCGTCCGTCCGTCCGTCCGTATGCGCTCTAACTCTTTTTAAAAGTGACCGATTGTGTTGAAATTTGGTGTACGGCTACTTTGGACATTAAGGACGGACGCTATTGATTGTCAGGAAGCTGGTTCAACAGGAATAAAAGTTATAGGACTTCGAGTGAATCGGGAACAGGAAAAACTGCGGACTCAATATAATAGAAATCAACATATTTCATTCCCTAGGTCATGTAATGAGTTCGGACTTCCGCTAGATTATTCCTTATGACCCTTAGAAGTGTAACAATTCAATATAACTCTTCTCTGTGGTATAGGTCAAATGTTTTAGAGCAAAATTTACCCAAAATTATTCTTTACGCATTAATTTAGAGTTGTAAAAACTTTCAGACGCATATCTTGATACTGAAAGAGTACATCACGTGCACATTTGATAACCCCATGGTGTGATTGAAATATGTCAAATTATTTTTCTGAGGCCACATGGATTTTGATCAAAACAAATCGTTATTCACGGACCAAGATCGTTGGGAAAAAGACTAGGAGCATTATGTCAATGCCCAAGCCATGAATTTGATGCATTTTTGGCGACCACGTAGATTTTGATCAAAACAATACATGTCAAAATCGTTATGCACCAAGATCGTTGGGAAAAAACCAAGAGGATTATATCAATAACCAGAACCTGAATTAGATCTATTTTTGGCAACCACATGGATGCACAAAGATCGTTGGGAAAGAACTAAGACCATAATCTCAATGCCCATGTCTTGCAAGACATAAATTTGATGCGCATGTTGAGCGACCACATGGATTTTGATCAAAACATGTGAAAATCGTTATTTATGCACCAAGATCGCTGGGAAAGAACTAAGAGCATTATCTCAATTCCGAAGGCATAAATTTGATGCATTTTTGACGACCATAAGAGTGTGATCAAAACATGTCAAAATCGTTATTCTTGCACTGAGATCGTTGGGGAAAAGACCAAGAACATCATCTCAATTAGGTACTCAATTATTAAAAAGTGAAAAATTGTAGACGGTATATTACCCTTTTCAGAAGATGTCAATGTGATTAGTTCAAAAGCGAACATACATTACACACAATGCATTCATACACATGTCATAAAAGAGGTGCTATTTAATTAATATATTGTTGTCTGAGGACAATTTAGCATCTTCGTAGAATTGACCCGAACCGAATCACCAGACAAACTAGTGTCTTTATGCTCAATAAACCAACGGGAGTGTTAAATCTTTTAAGAAAATTTGTTTCGATTTATTTTTTATCCCATGGTCGAATTTCGTATTATTCAAATCGTTAGTGCCGTCTGAGTGCTCGTTCATGCTCAAGTAAGTACAATTTGTACATTATTGGTGTCAATTGCTATTAAAAACTGGTACGAGCTAACTTTTTAAGTCCGTTTTCGAATTTGCCCAAAATGTAGGGAAATCGTACATTGCTTGATTCGGGAAGTAAAGTGACCGCGAACAAACTTTTTGTAAGAGGTAGAGCTAAAACACCAGTCACCAACCCTGGTTTAATGAGCACTATCAATCGCCAATTATTGGCATTTAAGTATAGTAAATTTAAGCCTGGTTAGAATGTCGTTAATTCCCATAAAATGTACTTTTTTAAGTCCCAATGGGCAAAAACAGGTTTCAAAAAAATATTCGCAGGAGACCACTAATGCTATTTTGTTTATCTTTAACGGCCACAATCAAACTTGGTTCCGGAAAACGTAAAGCTAAAATACAGGGTGGAGTTGCGCGCTAACGCTGATTTATTGAGAAAACATTCATTAACGAACTGGAACAAAATGGGTGGACAAATTAATGATTGGTTTGAGAGCGTGAA